CCCCCCGGCCCCGGTCCTGCCAGCCGGCTCTGAGCTCGGCCCCCGTTTGCCAAAGGCGTCATACCAGGGATGGAGCCGCCCACCCGATCGGCGCTTTGGTGGCACAGCCAGGGCTGGGGGAAGCCGGGCCAGGCGTCATGTTCCTTCCGAGCAGGGGAGATGGGTTCTCTGGGCTAATGTACACGAAGCTAAGGCGGGCAGGGGCTGACGGCTCTATAAGAAGGCACTGGGGTTCGCTCTGGGGTCTTTCTGGTTTCTGTAGCGCATGGCTAGCAGCACGCCGAGGATCTGCGCTTTGGTGGCACAGCCAGGGCTGGGGGAAGCCGGGCCAGGCGTCATGTTCCTTCCGAGCAGGGGAGATGGGTTCTCTGGGCTAATGTACACGAAGCTAAGGCGGGCAGGGGCTGACGGCTCTATAAGAAGGCACTGGGGTTCGCTCTGGGGTCTTTCTGGTTTCTGTAGCGCATGGCTAGCAGCACGCCGAGGATCTAGAACAGAGAGAGAAGACGGGGACTTCCTGGTCACAGGCTGCTCCCAGCCTCTGCCCCGGGGTCCCCCTCCCGGCTAGAGGCATTACCTCCGTGAAGCTGAAGAAGAGCCCGACTCCCCCGAGGATTTTCAGGGCCTCGTCCGAATGCTTCAGCATCTTCTCCCCGCACTTGGGGCAGCGGGTCATGTTGACCTTACACACCTGGAGAGGAAGGTAGAACCCCGTGTGACTCCCCTGCTGAGGGGGGCAATAGCTGGGGGAGCTGAACTGTCCCCCCCGAGCCCTGGGACCCAGCCGGCAGAGCATGGCGCAGTCCGCAGCCCCGCTGCACGCTCCCTGAAATCAGCACAGCCGGGAGGAGCCGGATGCAAGAGCCAAGAGGGGAGCCCGGCCTTTCCTGTGTACCGCAGCCGCGCAGGCCTGAGCTCTCGGGCTGGTTACCCCGGGGGGCTTTTGCCCAAGGGGACAGGGGCTGCCTCTCCTGGGACTCACAGCCTTGCAGGCGCTGTAGTCGGCCTGGAACGTTTGCATGGCCAGGGCGTCACTGGTGTTGTTCAGCAGCCCGCAGCAGTTCAGTTTCACCTCGATGTCCTTGCGGGTGGAGTTGCCCCCGCGCAGGCCTGAGCTCTCGGGCTGGTTACCCCGGGGGGCTTTTGCCCAAGGGGACAGGGGCTGCCTCTCCTGGGACTCACAGCCTTGCAGGCGCTGTAGTCGGCCTGGAACGTTTGCATGGCCAGGGCGTCACTGGTGTTGTTCAGCAGCCCGCAGCAGTTCAGTTTCACCTCGATGTCCTTGCGGGTGGAGTTGCCCAGGATGTTCCAGGCGGCTGTGAAGAGACGCTCCTGTGGGCAGAGCCCAGACCCCCAGGGTTACCCCGAGAACAGCACAGCCTGCAAGCGCAGGCGCTGTAGTCGGCCTGGAACGTTTGCATGGCCAGGGCGTCACTGGTGTTGTTCAGCAGCCCGCAGCAGTTCAGTTTCACCTCGATGTCCTTGCGGGTGGAGTTGCCCAGGATGTTCCAGGCGGCTGTGAAGAGACGCTCCTGTGGGCAGAGCCCAGACCCCCAGGGTTACCCCGAGAACAGCACAGCCTGCAAGCGCCCTCTGGGCCGGCCCTGGCAGGGAACCGGCCGCCAGCAGCCACGAGAGGACACTGAGGTTTTCCCACTGGGCCCCTTCGGTGGAGGGGGGCAGGGCTAGAAGAGGGAGCCCTGGGAGGGGAACCAGCCCCCCTGCCCTCGCACGGGCGGAGCCTGTTGTGATCCGTGGGGCTGCACAAGGCCCCACCCCCGCCCAGCCACGGGGGCCAGGCAG